TTGCTGGCGAGGGCTGTTGTTTGCAGGAACCTGTTGTAGCGGCTCAGGGTGAGGGGAAGAGCAGCAAGACGTGGAGCTTGCAGCACTCGCCAACTCGAGTGTGCCGAAGGTGTTACCCGGTTTTTGAGCCCGAGTGCACCCAGCCCCCGGGGCTGCGGGGTTGCAGCAGGGGAGCTGGAGCTGGAAGCGGCAGGGGGGTTTAATGCGCCGGGTTCGTGGCCGCTCTCCTCGTTGCTGGGCGGCTGTCGAAAAGGAGGGTGAAGGTGCTGGGGCGGCGCGGGCTGGCTTGGAGTGACCTTTTGCAAGCAGTCCCAGAGCGCGCCGGCGCTCGGTCTTATCGCCGCACGCAGAGGACTGCAGTCCCGGTGTCTGTCCTGTCCATCTGATAAAGCCCCAGATGGAGGAGGAGGAGCTGGTTTGCAGGGACACACGGAGGGGCTCCCAGAGGGGTTTTATTTGCCAGCAAATAACTGATTATTTGCCAGTAAAGCGGGGCCATGTCCCTGCTGGGTGAGTGGGGGGAGGGAGACGGCATCTGCGGGGTGATGCACACATCTGCCTGGGAGAGGAGAGGCTGCGGGCAGCGATGGTGAAAGACGGGGCTGGTTCCTCTTCAAACAGCGTCATGCCTTTCAGCCGCGGGGGAAGTGTCTTGATTGAGATTCCTGCCCAGCAGCTCCTCCACCGGAGCAATTTGTAACGAGAGCCCCTGGCTCTGGAGCTCCTGGGGGCTGGAGCCGGGGCAGAGAGCTGAGCCCAGAGCCCTGTGACACCCTGCAGACGAGAGGGGTGCACCCTCTGGCTCTTCCCAGGGTGGGTCTCTGTGGATGTTAAAGGCTGTGTGGGCTCCAGGGAGGAACTGCCTTCACCCCTTCCCCCATCAGTGCAAGGGAGATGTCACTGCTCCCCTCCAGCCCCACGCCCTGGGCTTTGTTGTAGCTGCTCTGGGGTCTTTTATTGTGATTTAAAGGTAGAATTTGCTGCCTGTCCCTGTGACAACAGTTTTTCAGCCCTGCTGTTTCAGTCCAAACTCTCACGCCGCTTGCCTAGCACGTTGTCCCATGTCAGGATGGTTCTCTGTTATCTGTATCTTCCGGGCAAAGCCCCGGTTGCCCCGAGCACTCCTGCCACCACAAAGGGCCAAGGCAGGGCGGGCCAGCCTGGATGCTAACCAAAAACATGGAGCAGGAGAAAGATAAGGATAATTAAGCTGAGGCTGGTAGAAAGAGGGTGGGGGTGAAGTAGTGATGGGAGATGTACAGTCCCTGTTCCCAGATCTGCCGGACGCCTGTGGGACAGGGCTGGGGTATGGCTCCTGGTCTCTCGGTGTGTAAGAGGAGGATGTTCGTGGACCATGGGTGGTGGTTTGGGGAGTAGGCTAATTAAACTTCCTTGGCCTGTGGCCTGATGCTGTGGCGGTGGACTAGCTCTGCGAAGAGGAAACCGGTGAGCAGAGCGCGTCACAGGAAGGGGGGATCCGCTCACCCGTTTCCTTAAGGCTTCTGTGGGAAGCACTTGGCAGTGGTGGAGTCCTGACCTCTGAGTGGGATGGAGCGAAGCATGGCGGGCGCCTGCCCACGGCATGGGTCTAACCCGGACCTCTCTGCTCCCAGAGACCAACCTGAGACATACGTGCAAGAAAGTCATGGACTTGGTTAAGGACAGCCACCCCTGGTTCGGGATGGAGCAGGAGTACACGCTGCTGGGCATCAACAGCCACCCCTACGGCTGGCCTGACAATGGCTTCCCCGGCCCGCAGGGTAAGTGCTCCCTCCCTTCCCCAACCCAAATGCTCCCCTCGGCTCCCACCCTGCTGCTTAGGGGGTGCTGCCCGGTGGCAGGCATCCTGTCCCCAACCTTGGGTGCAGCTTTCCCATCGTGGCTGACACTGGGCAGGAGCCGGGATGAGGTTAGGAGCTATTTGCTGAGAGTGCTGGGTGCCCCGTGGCTCACGTGAGCCGGCTGGCAGTGCCGCTCCCACCAGACCCTGGTTGCACAAACAGCTCAGCTGCATGACTTGTTTAGCAAGGGCTGGAGAACTTGGCTGGAAAAAACCTCCTCCCCATGGCTGTTCGGGAAAGGGCCAGCACATCGTGCCCTCTTACAGTGGCGAGTGAGCCCCAGTGCCTCAGCTGCCTCCTGGGAGAGGGCCAGGGGTTTCCCAACCTGACTTAATCATCCTTTTGTGGGGACCGGCCGCTTTCAACATCTCCCTTCCCCCAGGCGGGAAGAAGATCTTCATCTGACCTGCTTGAATGAGGAAGAGCTGTATAAAAATGTGGCGAGTTTAATTTTCTAGCCATAAACAATGTCAGCTGTTGTTAGAACAATCTTGGATGCCTGATGTACTCAGAGGGTCATAGAGGTGCTGCGGGGCAGACCAAGCCAAGCTTTCCTTATCTCCTGGCCACCTCCCAGTTGATGGATGATAAGTCTTGTTTAACTGCCTAGATAAGGCCGGGGTTGCACAGATGAATTGCTCACGCTGCTGCTCCTGGAGTAGGGATTGGTGGCTCGATGCACCATGGAGGGCAACACCATTTAATTCCCATAAATCCTGTGCAGATGATGGCTGGTACCTGGGAGTGGTGGGATTATGCTGCAGTGCTGTTGTTGCTCCCGAAAGCTTTACTTGGGTGGTGACTCCTCTTTCCTTTCCAGGCCCCTATTACTGTGGGGTTGGAGCAGATAAGGTGTACGGGCGTGATATCGTGGAGTCCCACTACAAGGCATGTCTCTATGCGGGGGTGAAGATCTGTGGCACCAATGCAGAGGTGATGCCCTCCCAGGTACGTGTGGATGGCCCGGCGCAGCTCCTGTTTCCATTGATGGATATGAGTTACCATGAAGCTGGAATAACCCAGCAACTCCCAGCTCCTCTGGGATGCCAAATCCAGTGACCCCTCACATCGGTTTTGTCTAGATGGGAGCAGTTGCACTGCTAGGATGAAAATGTAACTGTTTGATTTTCTCCTAACTCACCCTGGCATGCAAATGCCTGCTTTTTGGGGTAGGCAAGCAAAATCACAGCCGAACCAAACTGCAGTGAGCTCCTTGCACAGCTCAGCCTGAGCTCTGGCAGCCTGTGCGGAGCTGGGTGCTCCCCTGCGCTTTCCTTCCCCCGTGGAGCAGGGATGCAGGGGACAACATGAGCCGGGATGGGCTGCAGGAGCAGCATGTGGAGCGACGGGTGTCTGCAACCTGCTGCTCTACCCCGGGAGCCGGGAAGCTCGGGTGGGACATGGCCTTGGGGGAGCGGCTAGGGGGGATTTGGGTTTATTTAGGAGTTAGCCGGAGGGAGACCCTGATTGCATTAGGTGGGTGGCCAGACTGACCGACGGTGATTTGGCCCTGCAGCCTGCGAATCGCTGACTCTCCCGCTGCTGATGTGACAGCGATAAGCAGGGGGCTTATCTGCAGTGCAGCTGAGGCAGGACTTTTAACAACCCTGCTGTTTGCCCTGGCTTTTTCAGGGTCCTTCTTGGCTGCTTTCTGCATCCTGGGCTCGGTCTCGGCCAGGCCATGCCAGCAGCTGTAAATGCATCACCGCCTGCTTAGTCACCGTGGGTGGCGCAACCCCGGCTCCAGCCGCGGAGGGAGCAGCCCTGGGAAGGACTAACAGGCTCCTTGTTAGTCCCGTGCCCTGTTTGCAGTGTGCGTTGGGGGATCCTGCACACCAGCACCAGCCTCAAAGGCAGGCATAGTGCTTATTTACCTCCATTTTGATTAAAAACCCTCTGATTTGCTCTATTTAGTCATGAACAGTTTATTCCCATTTTTTTTGCATGCCAAAGCTGTCCTGTTGCTTAACTTGATGTTCCTCATCCTCATTGCTGATTCCCAAGGGGTAAAGCTCAGCCATACCCCAGGCTGGCTGCCCTCGCCAGGGGCGTGGCAGGGATGTGATGGCTGGGGAGGCATGAACCTGCCCGTCCTCACGAGTGCATCCACTCGCCCCTTCCAGTGGGAATTCCAGGTGGGCCCATGCGAAGGCATCGAGATGGGAGATCACCTCTGGATGGCTCGGTTCATCCTCCACCGCGTCTGTGAGGACTTTGGGGTTGTGGCTACTCTGGACCCCAAACCAATGACTGGCAACTGGAACGGCGCCGGGTGTCACACCAACTACAGCACCGAGGAGATGCGGAGAGAAGGGGGTCTTAAGTGAGTCCTGGGGGGGTGCCTGGGATGTACCTGGGAGGTTTGGGGTGTCCTTGGCCGTGGGGCAGCTCCCCGTAGTGTGTCTGTCTCTGTACCTGGGTGGCTTGCACCAGGCAGGGCTGGGGCTGTCCCAGCTCATTTTATTTTAAAAGCAACTGGTCATATGAGAGTGTCCCCTGGGCTGTCCTCGTCCCTGCACAGAAGGAGGAGGTGACAGCCTTCCTGGCCATGGGAACACCCCCCACTGGACCTACTGACAAACCCAACCCCATTCTCCTCTCCCACAGACACATCGAAGCCGCCATCGAGAAGCTGAGCAAGCGGCACGACTACCACATCTGCGTCTACGACCCGCGGGGTGGCCGGGACAACTCCCGGCGGCTCACCGGCCACCACGAGACGTCCAACATCTTTGAGTTCTCTGCCGGTGTGGCCAACCGAGGTGCCAGCATCCGCATCCCGCGCCAGGTCGGCCAAGACGGCTATGGCTACTTCGAGGATCGGCGGCCGGCAGCCAACTGTGACCCCTACGCGGTCACCGAGGCCATCATGAGGACGACAGTGCTCAACGAGACTGGGGTGGAGACCAAGGACTATGCTGACCACTGAGGCCACGGGGTGGGTGGAGGTTATCGTTTCTACACTAGCTTCTCACGTGGGATTTGTGCCCGTGTGGTGTCCTCAGCTACAAGCTCAGACTCTTTAGGAACCTCGCTTCTGGTTTTGTGAAACGTCGCCTTAGAAGTATATATATTTTATAGTAAGAGGAAGGGGCCCAACCTATTTTCTCAACCACTTTTTTTCTGGTTCCTGGTTTTAGGTTGTATGTGGGGAGGTTTTGTTTTTTTTTTTTAAAACTTGGATTGAATTTTTTTCTGATGGACTTTTCACTGTGATGTACATAGTTCCCTACGTGGAAGCTGCAGCTGCTGCTGTTTGCAACTGGCGAGGGCGGGTGCTTTTTTTCCGTATCTCTGTTGCAAGGAAATGATAATAAATAGTTTTCCTGGCTGCGTGGCAGCCGGGTTATTCTGCGGCGGGTGCATTTTTCTGTAGCTCCTAGAGCTCCATGGAGGATTTAATTTGGGTCTTGCTGATGAGTTGCAGCCACTGAGCAGCCTGCACCAGCCCTGGGCAGGATCCTTGGGGCAGATGCCTGGAGCTGCCTTGCCCCATTTGCCGGCGGCCGAAAGGCCATCTCCCTCCATCGTGATCCCCCGAAAGGCAAACAGAGCGACGCAGCCTGAGCAAACAGCGGCCGGGGCAGCAGCTGGCGGGCATTTACACAGGGTGTGTGTCGCTGAGTCAGCAAAGCCAGCACGGCGCTGGGCACAGCGAGTGCTAGCCCTCCCCTCTGGGGATGCCTTTGGGTGAGGGAGGGGAGCCTGGGGACATCCCCCTGCTGCACCCCAAGGGTGATGCTCTGCTGAACCACAGGGACGCAGTGCAGCTCCTCGGGTTGGAGTCTCTTTACAAGGGGGGGGTCATAGATTTTATTCATGGAGCAAAACCCCCAGGTGGGAACATTTCCTTGTGGGTGGGGTGTCAACAGCATTTCTAACGGCCAGACCCTTGGGGTCCCTCCATGCTGCGACTGTGGGGAGGGGTCGGATGCAAGCACAGGGGACGGCTCTCTGGTCCCGGGGACACCTTGAACAGGCAGGTCAGGTCCCTGGGACAGACCTGCAGGATGTGACCCAGTCACCAACGGGGGGGGTCACCTGTAGGCGAGGGGAAGCAGCAGCATGAACAGACTGGGGACATCATGTCCACTCCAGTGCAGTCATGGGGATTTTGAAACTGGTTTTATGTTTATCTTTGAATCCGAAGCAGGTCACAAGCCGAAATGGAGGACCCCGAGTCCCTCCTTCAGGTCGTGGCGCTGCCAGCGGAGCAGGGAGTGAGGGCAGCAGCAGCCGGGGAGGTGGCTGTGCCCCGGACCACAAGCAGCCAGGAGCCCTCAGTGTCTCTGAGCTGTTCAAGAATAAATGTAATCCGGTCCCCACCCTATGAAGGACAAATTTTCCTTCCAGAAATTGCTGTTCAGGATGTTTAACGTTTTTCATCAAAACCACGACCCTGTATTGTTTTCCTCTCATTTCTATGATGTCTTTAATGGGTAATTTGAGCACTGGGACAGTGACTGCTGGATGCAGCTGGAAAATCAATAAAGAACTAAATCTGGAGCAGGAAGACTAATGTTTGTTTCCCTGACTGTACCAGTGGCTTAAAGTACTTCAGCTTTCATCACGCTTTGCTGTACAGCCCTTGCTAAATTTGGGGAATCATGTGAATCCGGATTGCCAACGTGAAAACATCTTTGGCCAGACACAGCACCGTGGTTACATCCAAACACTTTGTACCTGTTCCTGGGTCTCACCCGGTGATTCCCCTCTGAGAGAGGACCCTCCTCTTCCGTGGAGGACAGTGAAGCTCCAGGGGAGATCCAGGGACTCACCCAAAGCCACAGCTGGGGCTTTTCCCTGAGCTGGGATCAGCCCTGGCCACCATTCGCTGGGGACGCTGCCTGCCAGTCCCCACGCAGCTGGAGCTGCTGCGTGCTTGGATACTTTCATGCTATCCTTTGCCAAAACACAGATCTTCTTGCTTGTACTTTTTGAGGCCAAAATGGGCCAGAAACCATATGTCAGGATTTTTTTTCCTAAAGCAGGAGTGATTCCCACCCACAGGGCCTGCAGCACAGGGGAAACAAGGACACCGGCAAGTTCCCACAAGAGCTTTTCTTATAATTTTGGTGTGCCTGCTTGTGTGGAAGGTGGGTTGTTGGGTTCAGCCAGCGGAGCAGGCGCTGGGGATGGAGCCAGCCCTCGGGTCGGGGCTTGAGGCCACGGGGAGGGGGTCAGCGTCCCTGTCCCCATCCAAGGGTTGGACAGTGCTGGGAGGAGATGCACCCAGCATTGCCCAGTGCTCCGGGCCGGATGGCGATGGATGGAAGCGGTGCCGGGACCCCAGGTGGAATCCACCATGGAACCGGGCTGCTGGGGGTGCGGGCTGCTGCAATCTGGGTAATCGTTACCCAGGGTTTTCCCAACGGAGCACCCCAAGGAGACTGTGCCGGGGTGGGGGGGATGATCCACCGCGGCCCCCCGCTGGGGCTCCCGGCTGGGGCCGGGCCGCGTCCTGCGCAGCCTGCGGGGGCGGCAGATCCTGGGGCTGGGGAGCAGGAGGGTTATTTGGGGTCTGGAAGCTCTTCTTGGGAGTTTGCTGCCCTCCGCAGGCGCAGGCGCAAATAACACGGAGCAGCGCTCGCCGCCAGCCCGGCAGCGGGGGGGGGCTCGGGCCGGGCCGGCTCTGCAGCCCCGGGGCTTTGCCCTGCTGCCCCCGGGGTTTTGCCCTGCTGCCCCCGGGGTTTTGCTGGGAGAGTGCGGAGGAGCTGGTTGACAAAAGAGCGTCGGGTGGGCGATGCCAGGAAGCTCTTCAACGCAAGCTCCTTTTTTTTAGGCTCTGACCGTGCCCCCGGGACCACCCTACACCCTCACCCGCTGGGCAGACACACCCGCCTTTACCAAATCTTGCATTTCCACACGAGCCCTCACAGATAGTGGCAAATAAATACCCCCTTGGGCTCTTTCCCGTACCCATCCCACCCTTCGGCTGGAGGCACGGAGCTGGGTGCTGCCGAGGGACAGTTGTCCCCGGGGCTGCAACCCAGCAGACGGACGAGTGGCTCCGGCAGACAGCTCCGGTGGGCTGCCAAGCTGGGACACACGAGGACCAGGCGGCCACCGTGGTCCCTTCCTTTGCCTCCCACCACTGAGAACCCCGCGAAGGCGCTGCAGAGCAGGACACCCAGGGCAGGCGAGCATTGTGACCACCCTGTGATAGGGAGTGACAGCGTGGGGGCTTGCAGGTTTCTCCGTCTTCAGATCTCTTTTTATCACTATAAATTCCATTACTTTGAATTCAGTCAAGGCCTTCAGGATTTTTTTTTTCCAAGCTGGTTATAAAAATGACATTAGAATTACAATTCTGATGCTAACAATAGCATTACTTAAAGCTGCTGGTCAGAAGTGGGGAGCTCTGGGTAGAATAAAGACCTAAACTAAAACGTCAATAATAACTTCTTTTTTCCCCTCCCTGTCTTCCAGCCTGCACAATCTGCTTGGGTCTCTCTATCTTAATGAGCATTAAAATTATTTCAAATTAGAGCTGCAGAAAATTGAATTTTTTCCCTCAGAAGCTTAGTCTGGCCTTTAAAGGCCAGCGATAATATTTTGGTTTTGTATAGGAGCATCTTTGATCTTGAAGGCTCTCAGCTCGTAGAGAGACACGGCTCATTACCAGCAATTCGCTGCTGTTGAAATGCAGCTGCAGCTGGAGGGGGACAGGCATCACGCAGCGGCACCTGATGTGCCAGGAGAAGAATTAGGGAGAGGTTTGGTCAGGGGGTGTTTGGTCCTGGTGCCCCACTAGCCCTGCGCAGCTCTCCCGGGCCAAGCCTTGCTCCCAGGGAGCCCGGCTGGCAGGTAGGTGGTCAACCTCCACCAGTCTGCTGCTGGGTTTGCAGCCAGCCGCTTTCAGCTCAGTTTGGTCCCTAAAAGTATGGGATGAAAGAGCCCCAGCAGCCCAACCTTAGCTCCAGGTGGGCTGTTTGGGGAGTATCCGGGGACACCCCGGCTGACAGCAGCGTCTTGCTGAGAGGGTGATGCAGCCCAGAACCTGGCAATGCACGATGGGTTTTCTCATGTATGTGATCAACCCACATGGCATTGCCGCTGGTAAAAACCCTCTCCAAATCCGAGCGTGGGGCTCAGTCACGGGTGCTCTGCGGGGAAGGGGTCACGCAGGCTGCCGGAGGCCTGCCGCTCGCTCACTGCTGGGAAGATACAGCAATTAGGCTTTCCAGGAAAGCTCGTTACCATGGCAGGGCACAGGGAGCAGACAGTCATTTACCTCATCCACAAAACAAGGAGGATTTAGTTGGGCGTGTTGGTGTGTGGAGTGGTGGGGGGGGGGGTGGTGTTAGATGGGCCCAGCAGTTGCAATTACACCTCCCGCCTGCTTTGCATCTGGATGATGCAACGCAGCGCAATCCTGAGCAACACGATGCCCTGTGGCAGCACCCACAGTTTGGGGGGTTGTTTGTAGGGGCACTGGAGACAGATGACTTCATGGTGAGTGGTTGGGGTGTAAGTTGGGGCTTGCACCTGGGTGTAAGAGGAGCCAGCGGGTCTGCCCTCCTCCTCCTGGGAGAGAAGGCAGCAGAGGCTGTAACCGTGCAAAGCAGATCAGCCTCATGTCCCCATCAGCCCCCACAGGGCTGGACCATCCCTGCTCGTCTCAGCCACGCTGGAACGGGCAGAGAGTCCCTGGTCCCCTGGCAAGGACGAGGCAGGTTCTGCCTTGGTGCTCCCTGCTGCAGCGGGCACTGCTGCTTTGCACGGACACGACTTTTTCATAGAGCAGTGCCGTGAAGCCCACAGCAGCGGTTTGATGGTTGGCTTGAGAAAGGTCTGCAAAGAATCCAGCTCCCCCAGGTGTCCCTAGAGCAGCCTCTGCAAACAAGTCCTTAATGACCTGCAGCAGCCGCCTTTGCTGACCCCAGCACCCAGCACCCCTCCTGAGCACCCAGTCCTAGTGATTCGTGAGCAGGGCCAGATAAGCTATCAAAAGCACCCTATGAGCTGCAGGCTGGGGGCTGCATGGGAACTGGGTGGGGGGCAGGAGCTGCACAGGGTGTCAGGGCACTAACAGGCTTTAATGGCCCTGACCAGCCTCACCTGGGGCCCCAGCCCATGGGCCCTGGGGGCCCATTTAAGCTCTGCCAGGGCCATCAGTCCTTGCCTGAGTTGTATTGAGGAGTGTTGGGTTCTAGTGTTGGTCATCCAGACCTTGACCCATGGACTGATTTCTCAGCTTGACCTGTCTTATTACTGTAGATCTGCCAGAAGATCAGCAGGCTGTGTCTCATCCTCATTACCCTCACTGAGCCTGATTCTGAACTGCAGGTTGATTTTTCTGGCTTGATTTTAGATCCGCCTCATTGTGGGGAACTTTCCTGATGGTCAGGACTCCTGGTTGAACACTTGTACCGTGTCTGGACCTGCCATGCTTGGGAGCAGAGGGATGGGGCCCTTGCTGGCGAGATTCTGCCCTGTAGCCGTGGTGTCCCTCCTGGCTTCCTGGACCTTTGAGAGCCCCTAGCCCTTGCTGTGCCCTGATGGCTGTGGTGGGGGGGCGACAGGAGAAAACAGTGTTGGGAGAGGAGGGCTGTGGGGGACTATGGGGTATAGGTGTTACAGGGCAGTGTCTGCTGGGATGGGGTAGGACAATCTCCTCTGTGGTGCCCCTTGCAGTGCTTGCCAAAGCTGCTTCGGTGCAAGGTCCTTGGAGGCTGGTGGTACCCACAATCGGGGTGCCTAGTGTAGAGGAGG